TTCACGAACTGTTCCCCCCCCCCCCGGGGTACTTACTGGAGCAAACGGTATTGACAGCAATAAAGAAGAAGGGCAGAAATTGTATCTTGCAGTATTTCGGGAGATCTGCGTTGCAGTTCTGGCGCCTTTTCAGGAGCCCCAAATGCTGTAATTGTCTCCAACAGCATCATCCGATTATTATGTCTGCAAAGGTGGGAAAACAATCTGCGCATATTTGGGCGTGATGTTGCCTGAACCCCACAGCTTTTTGCAACGTGCTTACAGCATCTGCAAGAGTGACATACGGTATAAGTTCAAAACAGATTGCAACCGTTTGCGCTCTCCAAATGCCGCATTTTACAGCTGTTTGAAGGATCCAAGCGCATGAATTCAAATTATCTCAGCCCTTTCAAGATCTCCAAACGCTCTAGATGCCTCCATCAGCATCGTCCGATCATTGTGCTTTAAAACATGGAAGGACGATCTGACTATCATGCGTGCAGATGCAGGTGCTGCATATCTGATCAGACAGCATGGAGCAATTTTAAGCAATTCATCCGATCATTACGCCTGCTCGTTTTTGATAGCTCACTGCATCATTTGCCAGGAACTTCAGCGACAGCGTGATGAGCTCAGGGCTTTGGAAGAGGAACGCCAGGACACATCGCAGCACCCAGCACCGCAGCCCAGTTCCTTTGCTGAGCAGGGAGGGAAAAACATTTTTCACTGAGCAGGGAGGGTTGTGCGTGCTGGAGGAGCTTGCAAAGCGTGAAGACCGGGAGATGCAGCGCCGAAGAGAGGACCGCAAGGGATCTTGAGCTGCAGTGCCACCTACAACTAAATGTCAAGTGATTCTGTTGATGTCTATTAATGCTTCAGCTCTGTCAAACTTGCCAAGAGTTGTTGAAGTGTTGTAGCGTAGCAATTTCCTCCAAAGCATGCGAAAGGTTTTCTGTGCCCACTGACCACTGAGAAGTTGACTACCACAAGCAGTCCGTAACCGCGCCTCGGGGACAGAGCAACTGGATGGGGTTATCGCCCCACAACAGGAATTTCGACAACTGGTGCCTTTTTCAGGGGATGCCAGAACGGGGTAGCCCAACTAGTTACTAGAAGCGGAATGGACCAAGAACTTAAACTCATCATTTTTCCTTAAGGCATACGAAGCCTGTTCGAGCATTCTTTTGGTCGTGATATCTCCCATCCATGTCGCTGTTTCCTAAACATGGGGTCTTGGAAGAATTTCAATGTAGAGTGAGAGTGGAATCTACCATGCACCAGGCGGCAGCATCTAGGGTTGAGTTCGCACCCCATGGTGGGCCTAACCGAACTGGACCCTCATGGCCACGAGGCATATGCAAGGAATGCCAAGACGCCAAATGCAAGATCGCGAGAGAAGATGCGTTAGGTTACTGGCAAGAACATGGGAGCCGCAGAAAGGGACCACCCGCAATACTTAGTCATGATTATTCAGGGGGCGTGAATGTTCCCAGATTTCAGCGCACGGGAAACAGCAAGGAACCACACATAATACGTACCATGCCCAAATTTCATGGTAACAGGAAGCAAAAGAGACCATACAATGCTTACGTAGGTATGGCCGTTCATGAATTTCAGCGTAGCAGGGCACAGCAGGGTGCCGCACAATACTTAGGTGTGATTATTCCACAGCTTCAGAGCGGCAGCAAGCAAAAGGGCTCACATATAGTACTGAGATATGATCATAGTATGCCTACTGCTTTGTCTATGGATGTTCCAGTACTTCGGTGGGTGCTAAAAATTTTACGTGACCCTGAATAGCCTATACCTTGGGAACTATGGCATGAGAGTATACAAAGGTCATGCAGGATTTTTTAAGTCAACAGTTCTTTTTTGGGGTGCATTTTTCCTGCATACGTTTTAGGCAGTCTTGGAAGCTCAAAGGAAATCCATCAATTGTGCTTCTGATTCGTCCTGCACGCTACTTACAACAGCATGTGTTGGAGGCCTACATGACTCGAATTGCGCGCAACCAATCAAAGGAAAAGTGCACATACATACCCCGTTGGAAGCCAAAATGAGCTCCAGTTGTATTGTCCCGCAGCTGTGGCTGAAGTTGTGCTATCAACGTTATTGGCTCTCTGAGTTGCAGTATCCACTTCTTGGTTGTGGTATCCACCGACAGTATCTCTTGATCTTGTCCGTCACCTCAGCTGATGACCCCACTGCACGCTCCTGGTGGTGGGGGCTGTCAGGAGGGGGAGCAAGAGGCACAACGGCTAGCTGCAGAGGCGCACACCTTGCTTTCCCTGTGGTCAAGACAGCATATGCGAAGCGCGGATGGCAGGCTGAGAGGCAGCGTGCCGAATTAGAGAGGCGACGAGAAGAGCTTCAGGCCGTAGAGGCCGCCTGGCTCAGCCCTGCTTGGAGTTTGTTGTCGCCCATGCCTGCCAGTTGCAAGGCTGCTCGGGAAGAGGCGCTCGCGAAGAAGATGGAGGAGGCAGGTTTAAAAATTTGGTGCCGGGATGGCTATTCTGTTCCAAGTTGCTTTAGGAGCGGCGCTTCTCGGCAGAGCTGCAGAAGTGGGCAGAACAACAGCAAGAGGCCAACCAGCCAATAACTGCGGCACGTAGCACCATTTGTAGCACCGTGAGTGATGAGCTTAGACCTGCCTTGCCCTTGCAAGGCTCTGGTGCAGCAACGGAATGAACTCCGCGCCTTAGAGGTTCGAGGCTCAGGTTGTGATTGGCCTCCATCTAGAATAGGTTTGGCAACATGCCGAATATCGGGTCATTGTAGACTGGACTTGGGCAGCTTCTGAACCGAATGCGCTCAGATGCGGGCAAGCCGGAGAGTGAACGCTGCCCAGAGCAGGGAAAGGGCTTCAAACAGAATTGATAGGAGTCGAAAAGCTTGGTAGGGATCACGAGAAGTCAAGGGCATTCTGGAGCTCTTCAAAGCTGCAGATATTCGAAGTACAGCACTTCAGCTCCCACAAAGAGATAGAAACAAAAGTTTCCAATCAAACAATGACAGGCTTGGGCACCCTGCTGCGACGTAGGCTTGCAACAGAATTGCCCGGCTTGCGGAGAAAAAACTATAGTTTGCAGTAGTTGCAGCCTTCGAATTTGAAGGCTTCCAAACTTTGTGAAGAACTCCAAAGGCTGTATTTTACGGTATTTGCAACCCTGGTCACTTTTTGTTGATCCCTATCATCAGGTTTGTTGATCCTCGTGCTTGCTTTCCTCCTCAACTCTTCAAGTCCGAGCATATGAAACACGGATGGCATGCTGCAGGCAGAGAGGGAAGAAATCCTCCGCAAAAAACTGGAAGAGCAGCACAAGCTTCGAGAGGCTCGTGCTCAAATGTGACGCATCCGCAAAGACAGGCAAAATTCTTGTTACACTTGTTAAAGACGCTAACCTCAATTCATTTGCGGTGCTTTTCATTGGAGGAAGAGGAGGCTGAGGCCCAGCGAGCTGCTGAGGCGTTCGCAACAGCTGGACATAGCTGGACGAAGCATGATGAAGCTTTAGTCACCTGTTCTGAAGCACAGCGGGGCCTGTGGCCCCTGCGTGAATAAGGTTTCAGTGGTTCTTGGGCATGGTTACATGGTTTGGTTTGTTTAGTTGAGATAAGACAACTTGTTTGGTATCGGATGCAGGCCCGCCGGCAGCGAGCCGCGGAAGCAGCCTCTGCAGAAGCGGAGATTCAGCGTAAGCGCTGGAAGCTGAGACTGCTGAGACGCAGCTCCTGAAGACGCCAAGATTTGGAACTTGACATTAGGACACTCATGCCTCGAACGATTTCTTGAAAGCACGTGCTGGCAGCCGTTTGGTCACTTGATCACTGCGCAGCCAGCAACCGAAATGGTCCGCTCAATGGCCCTGGAACTAAGGCGAAGAGCTCGAAGCACTTGAGGCAGAAAAAGAGTCGGCCAGGAGGTACACCTTCTAATCCATGAAAACTGCGATGCAGGGCATTTCGTGGTGGCTGGGCCTGGGTGGGCACTTGCCTTTACAGTTGCATTGCTGCTGCAGCACCAAAGGCAGAAGGAGGATGAAGAGCGCCGACTTGAACAAGAGCAAGTGCAGCCCTTATCAACCACGTGGATGTGAGAGTCTTGATTTCGATACTGAATGGGCAACGCGAATGCAATCTGTCGTCACAGCCCCCCCCATCGCCACGCAATCTGCAACCTACATAAGTTGAGATACGCGTGTCTCCTCTCGCAGCTGCATTTGCTCCAGGACTTGTCCAGCAGCTAAGATGCATCAGATCAGGGAAGCAAAGAAGCATCCCATTCTGCGCCTGGGTGCCCATTCGGCTGAGGATTCTAAAAAAAAACGCTGTAAGATTTTATTAGACACCGCGCGGTAGTGAGCCTTCGTAGATGGCGGCATGTACAATTGGTCCGGCGCTTGCTGCAAATCTCTTAGCTCATGCGCCGAAGCAATGGATGATTCGAGTCCCGGCTTAATCCCTTTGGCGTCACCGCGCAACTTGGATGATAGTTAAGGATATTGCGGGGTTTAGAGTTGGATGTTTTGGCAGCCGTGCTCACGACCTAATCGGTCAAATAGGCTTTGTATGCAGCCTGCAGGCGCCGCTGCCACCGCTGCATGGGCAACCTGCACGGAGAAGCTACTTGGCGAAAGTCTGCCGTGGACCACGTAGAATTTCTGTTAGACAAGCTTGTCAGGGCCTGAATGTGTGTGTGTGTGTAATTAAGCTTTCAGACGCTGCGGAGGTTGCGGCAGGCTTTGGAGGACCTGCTGGGCATCGTGTGCTAGAGAGGAAGAAGTAGTGCAAGCGTGAAGCCTCTCCTGGCACTTGCAGGACTACCTGCAAGAGCAGGATGAACACCTCCACGCCTTCTTTGATGAGCTGGAACGCAATCAGGCAAGCTTGCAAATACATACCATCCTGCTAACTTCAACGAATTCTTGACCTAGCCTGGAGTCAGAAGGGCTTTTTTGCTGCTAGGCGCTGCCGCAAGGCTTCGAGCGCCAAGCTCTAGAAGATCCAGCATCCTGCCTTGTTTCAAACTGGCCGACGGCATGGTGCGAAGACAGCAGTATGGCAGAACTGGTCGTACTCAGGTTCCGAATGAGAATGATGCGGTACCTGACCAGGTGTGAGACGGCTCTAGGACTGTTGTGGATGCGTTTAATGTTCGTGCGCCTTCAGAGGTGCACTTCATCGACGCGAAACCATGCAAGGGAGACCTCAATCTGCAAAGGCTTATCCCGATCCTTGGCCTTGTTATTTCTGATGTGCTTTTTGGGGTTGCTGATGGAGAGAGAGAGAGACTCAAATGAGCCTTTTCTCAATGCGGCCCTGGCCATGTCCTGCACGAAATCAGCTTAGGAAGCGTTTGTCGGAAGCTCCTTTGTTGCAGCACGTGAGCTGAGAGCTTTGAAGCAGACCTTTCTACCAACTCTTGAAATTATTACTGGCAGATCCTTGGCCTGTAGCTCCCTCCTTGGCCCAGGTTTCAAACATTGGGAGTGCTGAAATGGAGTCCGAAGTGTTTGAGGCTCCCAGTTTCTGGCATCCAGAAATTCGGTAGAAAAAAAGAGCTCCGCCCTAAGTGACGGGATGCGCAATCCAGGCAGAACCAGACCTGCAGTTCAGCATGAGCGCTTCGAACGTGGGCGCCCCGATGATAAGCGAGCATGAGGCGTGCAGCGGTTGTAGATGCGCACAAGCTCACGCAATGTCGCTTTGATCCAAACTGTTCGCGCTTGGCAGGCCTCCAAAATGCAGCTCCGCGACGCTCAAAGCGCGACAGGTTTTCGCACGTTTCTGAACCCCTGGATGCTTGCAGCAGAATGGGCGATGTAGTTTGTGAACGTAAGGTTTTTCGCTTGTGCTGGGCTGACAAGGTTTAACAAGCTTTGGCGCAGAGACACCCTTGCAAAAAAGCTAAGGGCAGCGCGCAATTCCCGTTTGCGGAAGCACCGGAGGTTCCTGCGAACCTCAGCCGCATAGACCGAGCGGGATCCTTGTGTGTCGAAAGCTCTCTCTTTGTGGCCGCTGTCCGGAGCGAGAAGAGCCGCCCTGCATACGCAGGTGCAGATGGGGACGGGCCTTCACCGATCATGTCCACGTGGATAGCAAACCGTGTCAAAGAGGTCAGCAGTTGCTTCGTGAACCTGATGCTTGCCGCGAAATCAATTTCTGCTTGGGCTTGTCTTTTCCCCACGCTGCCCGCCAAAGTATTGCCCCGCATGTCATCATGCTTGACGTAGGGAAAAGATCCGGCACAGAAGATGCACAGTCAGAAAGCGTTTGAAGCGTACTTTGGCGTGCCTTACAAGGATGGCTCGGGCTGCCAGCCTGGAGGAGCCTGAGAGGACATCTTTTCTTGCAGGCGTCCTGGAAGATCCGATCTTCGACGCTTGGTCAAATTTGGTCCTCTGTGTCTGGCACTGAAGCAGAGGCCATAGGAAAAGATATGAGTCAGCCTGAGTCAGCCTGTAGCGAGGTCTCATCAGTGGTGCTGGTGATTGCGCCTGGGTGGCACACAGCAACCACAGTGTTGGCTACGGGGCTGCGGATGCATTGTGAAAAACCTTGTGTTCCGCAGCAGCATGAGCAACCACGACAAGGTCGGCAACACCGTCTACACCACATACTCTGTATGGAGCCCAGGCATGCGAGTTGTGACCCATCCAAATATGCACAGACCCAGCCTTCAGAGCCATGCTCAGCAGTCAACTGGCTGCAAGAGAGCAATACTGAGGCCAACTATGAGATGGAGACGCTGGGCCAGCAACTTCCCTATCATACTTCAGTAGAAGCAGCCGCCGCCTCAGAGCCAGAGAATAATGGAGCACGCAAAGTTGTTCTCCATGTTTGCCTGAGAGAATCTCAGGTGTTTTTTGCGCTCTTTGCATTGGAGCCACCTGCCTGCCTAGTTCAGGATTTTAGCGAGCAATCTGCTGCAGCATCAGAACTCAGCTGAAGCTGCAGGCTGCTGCTAAAGCTGTACGTGCATCGTTTGTACTTCTTCTTCAACGACGAGACATGGCGTGAGTTGGCTCTGAGATGGCACTGGCGCCAAACAACTGCTTAGGCAAGTTCAGAGCCAAACAACGATCAACCTTTCGTAGTACTGAGCTGATGTAATTGTTTTCCTTTAAGATGGCAGCTGGTGCCAACAATATTTCATCGGACAGGTCTTTGCCTTGCAAAACCCTCAGCTGCCTCGCCCCACACGTCCGCTTTGCTGTTGAGGTGTAACCAAAGCCCACGCATTTTGGTGTAGACCTGCGTGTTCAAAGAGCAGGTCATGGGTACTCATGTGCGCGCACAACACCTGGCACGTGACACCATCCTCGCATGAGCTTGACTTTCTTGGCGGTAAGCCCCACAAAAGCTGCTTGCGAGGACTGGACCTGGAATTTGTTTGACTTTACAATCTGTGTTGTCTCCGCCTGCGACGTTCTCGGCCTCGCGATGCCGGTCGGTGGCTTCTCCTTTGCCAGGTGGGAAAGGGAGACTTTGGAAAGTGACAGCTGAACATCCTGTGTCCCAGGTCACTGCGGATCCTCAGGGTGGCCAAAATTCTGCGCCATAACCCCAGCTGAAGTGTTGAAGATCAGGGCAACCAGTATTTGCGCCTCCTTTTCGTGTTTACCAGGCAGCGTTTGTCCAGAACAGTCTTCCATCCAAGCCGTAATTGGCTGTTCACGGCCAAAAGTTTGCAAGCATACTTTCGCAGAAGTGGTTTGGTTAGACCAGCAGCTGTGAGCAGCCAGTCAGGCTGGTGGCACTGATGCTTGTCTAGGGGGTGGTGCTACATTTCATCGAGTCAATCCAGTCCGTGTCAAGCGAGTCAGGTGTGATCCGGATGCTGAGGTTCTTGCGCGAGGCCAGTGGTTCATTTTGCACACCTAACAGACGAGAGTATGAGAACACGTCAAGGTCAGACTTGCAGATGCAACGCGGCAAGATCATGTGAGATTCAAATGTAGCACTTTGGATCCCAGTCCGGTCTGGCACAATTTGCGGCTGTGCAGGTCAGAATCATGTTGATTTGCATGATGGGCTCCGTGGTGTCACTCTTCTGGGCCATTGCGCTCTGGCAGCCAAAGCACAGAATAGCGTGAAGCAAACAAATTCAGTAAGCCATGCGAAGCCTTGAACATGTTAAGCCAGCGTGACCAGCTGAGAGCCTTTTACTCGTGATTTTCGCCTGAAGATGCAAGCTAAGGTCATGCTGGTCTTCATCATGTTTCTGTTTGCCTTATTCTTCATGCAGGAATGCTGAGGTAGAGGGTGCAAGGTGAGGGGGGCCAAATGGGAGGTTCGAAGAAGTCCTTCACAACCAGACCTTTAACCTTCACTGTAAGTCTCCTGTCGCTGATGCTGGGCAGCTTGAAGACTTCCAAGCGCTGAGCCTGTGAAGGAGATGGCTCCCTACCTGGCTGCCACTGAAGGCATCGAGACTCCGGAGCTATGCTCTGACGAAAGCTTGGAGCTATGGAAGAACCAGCGCACCTACTTCCACACGATATTCTCTACCATGCACGCGACTTGCATGACAAGCTCAGGGCACTGATCCTTTCGTGCCGTTCAGCTTCTGCGATGCAATGTCTTGTAAGTGTTATAGAAGCACTACTGGATGTGGAGCGTAAATTCTGATCCCAACCTGGCATTTGCGGTTAGCATTTCCCGCCCTCCTGCCAAACCTGCTTCAAGTCACGGGAGGTTACGCGCCACAGGGGGAGGGCTGTGATTGTGGAGCTCGCCACCTCCGCCACCGGTTCCAACGCCACCGCCGAAAGCAGCAGCAGCAGCAGCAAGAACTGCTCTGCTGCTTCTCCTCCTATCACACCACGTTTGGGAAGGTGTACTCTCCGTTAAATGCTACAACTATTGTGCATAGTTGCTGTTGCTCCTTTCGATTTTGTATTCCCAGCATTGCATGCAATCGGCCGGAAGCTATGGACTTTGTTTCTGACGTTGCAAAGGTATTGGCAATGGCATCCACGGGAGGAAAAGACTGGGAGGAGGCAACAGTCGAACCGACTTCGGGACATTGTCATCATGACAGAAGCCCTTTTGATTTGATGTTATTCCTAGATTGCCATCATTACTCTTGTTTGCATCTTGGGTTGGTGTTGTGGCGAGGGCTATGGCATGACCATCGTTGTTTCCGCTGTGACAATTGGTGTTATGGCCGAGTTCCTTTGGCATAGCTTTCTTGCAGTTGATTCGACTGAGATCCCTTTCAGAATCAGTAGCGCTGTTGTGCTCGCAGCAGCTGGGTCATGAGCCAGCAGCGTGCAGGCATTCTTTATGGGGTTTCAGTGCACGCTTGGGGTGCGGAGCATTTGAGTATCTGGGAGATGTTGTAAACCTTCGGTCTCTAAGAGGCCATTTTTCTCACTTGTTTCCAGACATGTAATGCGCAACAGCTACAGCTCCTTCCGAAAGGTGGAGGGCCTCAGACTTGTTTGCAGTCGGGGTTTCAACGGAAACAAAGTATGACAAACGGATTATGGCAAGGCCGTCGTTGGCACCCCTGGTGCAGGATGCTCGAGGTTGTCTTACTGTTTTTTGCAGCTGTCGTATATTGAGGAGCATCGGCGCGCATTAATCACACACCCATCGCCGGCAGCAGTCTCGTATGAGGTGTGCAATGGTAGAACAGCACGAGAACCTTTCACTTCCGCGATTTTGGGGAAGGGGCAGAGCCAGGTAACCTCGTTCTGAGCGCCTTTCGGCCGGAGGATACAAAATCCTATTGGTTTCGTAACTGTTGATGCGCGGGGGTCACGACCACAGAGTCAATGAAATGGAGCAGAAATTGAACACCACGCCCAGTCCATATGCACCGCCAAGTGACTTAGTGCGGCTGTGCTGTATTGCGACTTTCCCGTGATGTGAAGGTGTGGAAGCTGATTTTTCCAGTGGGCTGGGTGGCAGCTGGAGCGTTCTTGTTCTACTTGCTGTTCTTCATGCCACCTGCTTGCATTGCACATGCTGTGAGATTTACTTGTGTTCAAATGTGCTGGTTTCCTGACAGCCTTTTCGTGGAGAGTGGGCACTAAGGTTTGCCGTCATGAACATCATTACAGGCGCGAGACGTGCGCACGTCTTGCTCCTAGATAGCAAGCACTTCTGGCTCCGGTGCTTCATGCAAGAAGCGACACGGAATCTGGGCTTGCCAGTTTGCTGCGCAGGCGTCTTTGTCGAGCATGCCTCGATCTTATCCAAACCGGATGATGAGGAGCCGGATTCATGTGGTGACTGAAGCGTGCTAAAAACTTCAACAGCCGGCGTTGCTCGCTGTTTGGCCCTGCAATTCGCATACGGTTCTGACATGTTCTGCCGGCCAGGAAGCAATGCTTGAGCACATGAGGCAACTTCGCCTCTTGTATGCAATGCTAGGACCGGGGTTGGGGCTCAAGATTCCACATGCAACATTTGCCCAGCTAGCTGCTCCATGGCAAGTTGACATTTAGGAAGTTGACCGGGCTTGTCTTGCCAGATGAGCTCCTCCCACCAAGGAAGCGACGTCGACTACCTCACAGCATCTTGGATGGCATGGCTCTGCATGTTGTGTGTCTTTGCTTCGTCCTCATTCCACTTGAGCAGGCGATCATGGAGCTCATTGACAAGGATCTGCCAATAGGGCACAGGCATAAGCTTCTATCAGATCAAGGCAATCATGACAGCAACTAGTTTTATCGCGCCATAGCAACCGCGCATGCTGTGGCAGCAGCCTCTGCTTTGCCAGCTCGAGGACAAGTCTGGATACATCTCAGTGCGAGAATTCCTGACAGCAATGCAGAACGAAAGGACAGAAGAGTTTCCTGACAGCTTTCAAGTCCTTCCTTTGCTGCGCACATTGAGCTGTTGCAGGATTGAGTACTCCCTTCGTTCAATCGGAGCCTCGTTCTTTGTTTCGTGAGCATGTACTTAATCATCTTATTCGTGCATGTTTGTGCAAGGTTCAATTTTCAGCGTCATTCCTTTGCAGTGAGATCAAGGTTTTGAAGGTACAGGGCTTCTTGTAAGCTTGTCATGAATAAGCAGGGTCATTTCGTGGATTGCTAAGAAGATTGTCTGATGATTTGCATGGTTGCCTTGGCAATTCCTGGCGCTGGTAGGGTTTCAAGCTCTTTCTTGCAACCCCCTGTGATCCCCTGTGCTACCAATTTGAAATAATTGTCAATTCACAGCACTGAACAGCAGCGCTGTCCGTATCAGCTGTTCGTCACCGGAGCAGGCGGCGGCAGCAGCAGCAGCAGAGCCAACAGATGTGCAGCTGCGCGTAATTTGTCCAGCACGATGCCACCATTCTCTGTTACAGCCAGCACGGTCTCCTCTCATTAGCATGCCGTTCGCAAATGCAATTGGTTGAGCAGGATGTAACCACCTGAAATCGTATCCCTGCTGCCTATACCCACGGCAGCAGCAAGAAAGCTACTGGAGCGAACGCTATCCAGTGCCGTTGGTGGCATGGTGGCGGCGGTCATGGCCGTAGTCAGAATCATGGTAGCGGTAGCCACAAACCAGCTCGGGCCAAGGAGTGGACATGCGCATGCCGGAGAGGCCTGTAAAGCAAAGACTTGTGAGATGTGTAGTGTAGTGCATTGCTCTAACTGGTGCTGCCTTGCCTCGAGTGTGTGCTGGCATGATTTGGCATGCACACCGAGGGTAAGGTGGAACTCAAGCTGCGCGCTGACGGCAGGTACTTCACCACGCTGGCATCGTTGAGCATTTTGGACCACGAAGGATAGTTCAACAACATCTATTGGGCGTGCGTGTCCTTGCCAGTTCAGTGCCATATTATTGGAATCCGAGGTGACAAAAGAGAGATCAGCATACAAGAGCTTGTGTACAAAATTGTGGATATGAAAGGCCGCGTTGCGCATTAGCAATTGCGCATTAGCAAGTCAAGGTGAAGCGCACGACTTTTAGTGTGCAGAGTTCATTCGAGTAGACGCTTCAGACCACCAGCACAGGCTCTGCATCCCGAGCTGACGTGGAGCTCCTCAGTCTGGAAACGAGGATCCTGAAGCGAGACATTACAAAAATGTTTTCAGGCCAGGGGAAGTCTTCCCGAGAGCCAAAGAGTTTACAGCATGGCACTTCTTCCTGCTTTGCATAGGCCTGAAGAAGCTTGTCCATCAGATGAAGGCCTTGGCCTGCGCGAATGCTTGCGCGATCTACAGATTAACATGCTACTCTGACCAGCTTTGGCCGTAACCCACACGCAGAAGCAGCCTCAGTCGCTTCTGCGCAGGCCGGGTCGCGGCCGCCGTCGCCTTCTTCGCCGAGATCCCGGTCGCCAAGGCGGTGGTCAATGAAGTCTGGGTCGGGGCCCAGCCCACCCAGCCCTTTGGGCCAGCAAAGCCCTCAAAGCTCGAGCTCACATTGAAAGGGCAGCTGGTGAGACATCCACGCGCAAATATGCCTCATCAAAGACTGCCAGCACAAAGACATGCTGCAAGGTCTTTGATTTCTAGCTACAGACATGATTTTCCTGCTGCTGCGACGGGCAAGATCTCCCAGTCGATGAGACATGCAAAATCCGCATAAACAGAGCCAGGCCATGCCAGCTGTTGGGGGGCTCCACTTTCAAGACATGAAGTTGAGGTAGTGACATCCTGATTCGCCTTTACAACCTCATTGCAGCTGAGTCACCTGACCTGACTTCGGTTTCACCCGCTCGGAAGTCCTCAGCAGCAAACCTTACCGAGGTGAAGTCTTCGTGCATGCAACAGTTCCTCAAGACCCAGCATCATCTCAGCTGAATCAGTTGCTTTTTGCATTGACGTGCGCTTACAGCCCAGGCATCCCTGGCCGCTTACTCCCAGGAGGCCCGGACACGGGCAGCCGAGGCAGAGGTGGGGACGGTGTGGGGGATCCGTTGCCGTCCCAGCTGTTATCGTCAACGTCCTGTTGGTTTGTGCTGCGCCAGGCACAGCGCCAAGAGATCGAGCAGCGAAAAAAAGAGCTTCAGGCGATTGGGATGACGAGCAAAGGCCAGAGAGAGAGAGAATGCAGACCGTGTTTGCCAGGACTTGGAAGCAGCAAGGGACGATGTGGCAGGGGGCTTGTTCGCAGTTTTCATACTGCTGCTTTGACAGCAAGTTTCACAACAAAGGGAGTTGTGCCTGAGTAGGGGTTTGGCAGTCCGGGGCGGTGCCGGCCCAAGGGTTCAGGGCCAGAGGCTGGGGCAGGAGCGAACAGCCCGCAAGGTCAAGCGTGCTTGCATTGGCTTGTGCACCCCAAAGATGAAAAGGTGCACATTTGCGCTTGCACAAGCCTTGCACCAATTTCAAGGCACGCCCGTCGACTATTCGCCACCATGTCAAGACCAGCTTTACCTGCCTGAGTGTGGGAAGTATGCGTAGAAGATCGCATGATGGGCCTATTCTGCTCTTTTCGGAGCCTTCTCCGCCAAGGAGCCCAGGAGAAACCCTGGCCAGCATGGCGAGCCACTTCTACTTTAACCCTTATGGTTTGCAAAGGCATCTCTGATACTCGAATCCGTGCCTACACATTTGCCAAACTAGAAAACTAAAACAGTGCTGTCAGAAAGCTGTGCTATGAATCCCCTTGCACGCAAAGTGTCTTAGCCAAGCTGTGATAACTCTATTTGACAAAGCAATTTGATGATCAACCCGCAGGGCGAGCAGTGTCAGGCGCAAGGGTGCTCCAAGCCTAAATACACCGGGCAGAAGGGGCATTGCAGAACACAGGGCATGTCATTTCAAGCCCGCAGAGCTGCCATTCCACCGGCGCATACTTTGACATTCCCCAACCAATGCTTGCACTGCTGAGCATGCGCAAGTGCTGCCTCACAGTACAAGGCACGCAGATCGCAGCAGCTACGCGAAGAGCAGCGCCAAGAGGCCTGCCCGGGGTTGACCTTCAAATGCTCCGCATGCTCCATGACAGGCTGCACAGCAAGGCGAGTATTGATTGCGTTCAGTTAAATGGCTTCTAGATGTGAGCTGAGCGTGTCGTCTGCAGGTGGCCCGAGCTGAGGAAGAGCGGCCTCGTCCTGTGCTGGTGGTTGCTTATACTTGCGGCATCTTGCAGCAAAGCTCCTTTGCAATTTCAGGTCACGCCTTGCCGAGCAGGCAGTTTCCCAAGAGGTCGGGCTGGTGGGTCCGACCTAGTGTAAAAACAGGATGAAGCTTATGAGCGATTGAGCCCCAGCAGATTACAAAGTGACATGTTGCATATGCAGCCATTCAGGCTTCGCAGGATGCTGTCACAGATCGTCCTCGTGGCAATGAGACTTAGGCTTAGGCTAACGGATGCGAGCATGAAGGAAGCGACAAATCACAGCCTCACCTCCAACCTAACCTTGTGTCGCGAGCAAATTCTACAGCAATAGCACGCAAAGATCACTTTACCTTCAGCGCAATGAAAGACGAAGTGGACGCAGAGCCAAGTGCAGGTGAGTTTTAGAGATCTGGCGGTGTAGCCGGGCATCTTTTTGTTGACTAGGTCAGATTCAGTGGGCTGATGCGCGTGTGGCATCTGCCTTGCAGGCGGCCTGTTTTGCAGCATGCCAGGGAGGTTTCCATCGTTTCCGATGAGCTACGCCCGCTCGCTTCAGGCCCTGCAAGCACTTGAAAACACTGATGAGGCTCGGGCTCGAGCGTGAGCAGCCAGTCCTTTTGATTTCTGCGCTCTTCTTCAGGTCCTCCGATCCCTGGACTCGGAGCTTTTGGCCGCTGCTTTCCTTGCTCGGTGCGACTTCGACGCGCCCCGCGCACTGGAGGCTCCCATGCCACCAAAAGATCAAGACCATCCAAACTCTTGGGGGCGCCCTTGTACTGCTAGTGAGTCGGGGTTCATGTGCATTGGAGCAGCGTTTTTCCTGGTCTTCCATCACTGTGTTGGCGACACAAAACCTACATGCGCCGGACTGTGGCTGCGGCAGGGTACGTAAGCTTCGAGAAACGAATACGGATCAATCCATAAGATCAGATGTGTCAGAAGAATGCGAGTGGTCAACTTTACGGAGCATTACCAGCAAGGCACGTGATTTAGTACGGTTTCTGAAGTTCGAAACGGGAATTTGGAAGGAAGGCGAAGTCCAATTTTCAAGACCATGGGCCACGTGAAGCCTTGCAACTGCAAAAGGCTGCCAGCAGAAAATGCCAGCAGCTCATCCTCATCCTGAAGTATTCCATGAGCAAAGGATACTTCTTAGAAGCGTAGGGGTTCGCCGAAGGTTCGTAGAAGCAACTAGTTGCAAGATGTACAAAATTTTGAGGATGCTCTGGGCCGAGGAAGCGCCCGGAAGCGCTTATTGCGTCATGAATAGAACTAAAACCACCGCTCATGTATGTTAGTGAAAGGCCTTCTGCACTGCCCTACTGTAGCGGCCAAACGAATCGGTCCGACTGTTGGAAGCTGTAGCCCAGTACATTCAATCACGCGTGTGATTCAACTGTTTCAGGAGGGCCGAGGCCACCCAAAGCAGGAGACGTAGCCCGCCTAGTTGTGATGTTGCTGAGTCAAGTAAGAGAAGTGTTGTGTCCCCTTGGCTTCTTTTCCCCAAGTTGTTAGTGTTCCTGTGTTCCTTAGCCATGAGCTGAAGTTTGACCGGGCCTGCTTCAGCAATGGTTGCTTTGCCGTGTCTTTGCAGGCCATTGTGCAGACAGCAGCTTGGCGGAAGCAAAGCGGTGCCAGCGAGGTGCACGGGCAAGAAGCTTCGCAGAGCGAGTTGGTTGCTTTGAGTTTCCTTCTGCTAGGTCAGGAAGAAACTCCTCGCGGAACCTGCCATGAGGCTCCTGTGCTTATCTGATGGCATTTCTCTCGTACTCTGCAATTTCAAGATCTTGAGAGCTACTCCCGCTTGGCAGCTTTTCCGACTTCCCTCACGGGCAAGCGGCCTTGTTCTCAGCAATATGCGTCAGCAAATTGTTGAAATACCCCAGCAAACTGCCATGGCTGCAGGTGTTGAAGCATTTTCCGCAATGCGAGGGCGGCCTGGCTGTGGACAAGCGTGGCTTGCCCTACGCCATCCGATGCGTAGGCACATGCTCCAAATCCAGACTGCCGTGTTCAGCCTACAAGTCATTTTGCAGCAGGAGTTGCAGACGCAGTCGGCTTATTCTCAGTGATCAATGAGGCCGGTCACAGCAGATGCACAGCGCTGTTTTCGCATTAAGTGCGGGTGCCAAAATGTGACTGCAGGATGAGATGATGCACTTCCAGACGCACCTGCTTCTTGTCCGCGATGCTTCGCTGCTTCGCTTGCTGTCTTGCTGGTTGTGTCTCTTCCATTAATATGGAAGCTCAACCACTTAGCCTCTATTGTCCTGAGAGATGGTCCTTATTTGAATGGATTTGAGGTGTGAGTGGCGGCTACTACGTCTCGAGGAGTTTGCGCGCAGAACCGGTCAACTGGCAGGCATCCTCATCGTGCAGGACGCTGAGAAATAGCAGATGCCTGGTTCAGCTGTGCGAAAGTTAATTGTTTGCCAGGACATGTTTGCCCCAGCAGGCTTGCTAAACGTGCCTTGTCATTAACCTTCTGGCGGTTTGGGTGTGGGTGCCATTGTGTTGACAAACCAGGCCAAGTGAGTGAGGTGTGTTAGGGCTTCTGAAACCCTGCAACACAGGCCTGGCGGAAGCACGGCAACAAGTCAAAGGTCATGAGACGAGTGACCGGCATGATGGATGAGCACTATCCAGGCGGAAAAGCTGGGGTTGGGCTGTCAAGGATGTGCACTGTGGAGATCTCTTGGAGGTGTCATGGAGTCAGTGTTGCTGGTAAACGCTCCCTGGGCTCTTCATGCCATCTTGCGAATACTTACGCCCCTGCTCCCGCAGAGGGTGGTCCCAAGCTGAGGCAACTCTGTAAGGCTTCTGCGTTGTTGCCAACTATTGTAGGCATTGGCCCAGGTCAAGAAGCTTCAGGTTGTTCCGATGGCGCAGACTCCTGCACCCTGGTTGCAGCATGCTCTTTTGTAGTGTCTTGAGTTGCTGAATTGTGATCGTTAATGTTTGTGGGGCCGGCCGCGACGTTCACCCCTCCATATCCTCTATAACAAACAGGAGGGCCAAATGAAGGTAGTAACCGTTGGCAAAGACATGCCAGTCTGGCTTGAGATAAACGTGCAGTACAAAGCTCATGCTTTGAGAAAGGAGCGGCTACAGCAGCTGATCGACGAGTCAAGCTTGCCGCAATTCTTGGGAGGTTCGCTCATGTTTGGGCAGGTTTTGGTCGTGGTTTGTGCATACCTGTCAGGTGGGTACAGTGCAGAAACGAAGTAGTTGTGAATGCAGGTAGCGGTGCGAATGCCGACTTCGTGCCATCACGCGCCACCCTCGATGTCAGCGGAACAGGCTAGATCGTGCTAGCATCCAGATCGTGCTAGCATCCAAGCAGACCGTGTCATCCAAGTGGTAGTCGCAGGTTAGGATCTAAGAGGTGACAGAGTAGACAAAGGCCCGGCACAGCCAACGAACGGCAAGATAGCCAACACTAGTCTCTTTGGAACGAGGGATCCGAAGTGCGTTCAAACCGGCCAACTAGACTGATGGGCCTAGCAAAGCTCGTGAATTGAAAACTGCAGGCTCTGAGCTCGTCATCAAGGCTGGGCAGAAAGAAGAGAGCAAAGCTCAGAGTTTCTTTTCCAAAGTGCACCAAGCTTACTGTGTATGTGCTGCAGACGTGGCGCATGCCAAGGCGCAGCCTTGAGCTCCGGGAGGGAGACGTTGCCGCCTTCGGCTTGTCCATCGCCAACGGTTGCTGTCTCAAGCCGCGAGTGTTTCCTCAAGTCCAAGACTTTGCTGACTCTGAGAAGAGGCTTGGACATACTTTTCAGCTGCCACTTCGAATCAGAGGAGGCGGGGCCAGGAAGCATTTAGTATCATTTAGTGAGGGATGGCTGCGGACTGCTGCGAAGCCGAACAAAACACTGAGCTTCTGGTAACCTGCGGCTCTTCTCGCTTCAGAGATGCTTCGGCGAGCGCTTGTTGACGAAGCGCATGCATAGTCAGTCGTTTTGGGCAGGAGTCTTTGGAGGTGGTCCCTGCTCGACGGCTGCAAGAGGCCTGGCTGAGGATATCATGTGCGGCAGTGCAAAAGTGCTTTCACTCACTCACCAGGAAAGCTCAAGCTTTGCCGCGCCACGCAATGGGAAGCTTGTCCTCTCCTTCGATAACTCATACAGCTGGGCAGCGTGCTAAGCCGAAAAGATTTTGTATGCGGACCTTGTTCTCAGTTCCCTGTTTCGAGCAAGGTGAAGGCCAAGGATGTGCGTTTTGAGCTGTCCAAGCTCACTTCAGAGGTGGGATTTGTTGAGCCGTGCAGTAACAGGGAAGCCTTAATTGTCCCCTTGTTGTCATTTCTTCCTGTCCTGATCAGACTAACACATTGTTTTTTCAGGAAGAGGCGACGCTGCCTGAAGAGGGCCTTGCGGAAGCAGAAACAGTGACGCCTTCTGACATTGAGACGCCAAGCGCAGCAGACGAAATGGATGCCGCTGGCTGATGTTGCAAAAAGCCTCAGATTTTCCTGATCGTACAGCTTGACGAGGCCTAGGACATCATGTTGGTTGGGAGCCATACCCATCATCTACACAGATGTCTAAGAAGACGATAATGCGAACCTTGCCTTTGCTGGGTTACCGCTTGTTTTTGCAAGTTGGCTTCCAAGCCCTACATGGAAAGCTAATTGAAAACGACAGTGCAGTGTACAGATCTTGCTGCATAACTAGTGTTCAGACAGTGCAGGCGTTGTTGATGCATTACAGCATTCCTGCAAAAAGTCTTCTTGATCCGTTTGCTGCTTGCAACCAACTTCGGGCCCGTGCCAGCCGCTTGAACACGCGCAGGCCGAGTTGCAGAAAAAGCGTACGGAACTGTCCCGGCCCCAAGTCTTGTAGCTCGGGCGGATTCAGTGAGTCTCAAGCCAAATTGATTGCTGGCGAGAGTCTGTACCTCAGGGAAAGCCTTGAACAGCAAGCTGAAAATCTTGCAAAGCAGCGCAAGGAGCAGGCAGTGCTGTAGAGCTTGGATTGGACATTGCGGCTTCGGATCATCGTAGATCTCGTGCGGCCTATGACCTTGAATTCTTGAGGAGCAGCAGGCTATGATGAGGGCATCCCAGCAAGAACAGGACGACCTGTTCTGATGCGAGATACGTTGCAGAAATGTGCCCAAGCAAAATTTGGCCTTTTCTGCTGGCATGCGTGTGACAAGCAGCGGGTAGGGCAGATTTTTGGAGCCCGCAGGGTGATAATGTATCCAAGTGGCATGCACGCTGGCGGTTTGCTAGAGCATGTGAACACTGACAAGATGTCAAAATTCTGAATTGATGACCAGGGTATCGGCATTCCCCGCCAACTGTGGGATGGGGTTCTGAATTCATACCTATTCGTTGAATTGCAGCAACCTTGTGAGGCATGCGAACGCTGTTTGAGCGAGACTCTTTTTATGGAGGAGGCGAAGAAGCGCCAGGAGGAGTTGGACCGGCGCAAGGAAGAACTTCAGCAGCTCGAGGCGTGCTTGGATGTCTTGCCAAGCGCTGAGCCTTGCAGATCTGTTTGTTGCCCAGGCTGAACAAGAACAAGCCGCTGGCCAGCGCCCTGGGAGATTCACCATGAGTATCAGATGTATCTTGTTCCATGCCAAGGGCAACGCCTTGAGGAGGCATTGGTCGAAGTGCTCGTGTTTTCCAATGGCTAGCTCCACCAACCGGAAGGAGCAGCGGCGAGAGGCAGAGCTGAAGACTGCGCAGCAGGCCTTTGAAATCTTGTGATTCCTGCGAGCTTCGGGCCCAAACGGCTGGATGAGTTTTCATTGGTTTGTTTGCATTGAGGTGTGCCACATTTAAGAGCAGCGTTAGTATAGAAGCGTTCCGCTCGGCTCGGTGAAGGCTTGACGTAGACAGCTCCTTTTGCATGCCGATGCTTTCTGATGCTTGGAGGGTGTTGGCAGACGTTGGGCAGTATGTGTGCAGCACTGCTTTCGCTTAGTGCTGCATTTGACATTTGCAGGCGCTACAAGCTGAACGCGGGCTGCTCAGCAGGAACTCCCTCACCTCTTGGTATTTTGCTATCCTCGGCCAGTCTGTTGCTGCTTGCTTCACAAGTCGCCGTTGCGCAGTTGGGCTGGGATGATTTTGGCGTGAGGTGATGCCTTGCAAAGACAGCGCACGGTCCCAAGTCCCAAGGGAGTCAGCAACGGAGATCTCACGGGATGGGGCACTGCATGAAGAGAGCTCGTGAAGGCTTTCCAGAGTGCAGACAAGCTTCTGCATCCAGTTCGAAGTTGAGGTGAGGAGCAGCAGGAAGCTGAAGATAAAGCAGCTCGTGACCGTTGCGCGCGTGTTGGGGCCTTGGGAAGGTCAAACTGAATCTCGCAGACATTGTCCACCCTGGTACTTTGTCGGCTTGACATGTTCTGCTGAAATTGGATGCTATGAGCATCTCCCAGGAGGCAGAGCTTGCGGAGCAGCAGGTTGCGCGTGCTGGGCGTTTGAAGTCCAACTTCAGAGCAGCACTGCCAGGGATGACACTCATAACCTGACAAAGTGTTCATCATCCACTTATGTTGGCTGCAAAGTTGCTACACTACCTTCGGGCAAAACGCAAGTTCAGGCATGAGATCAATCTCATGCACCTGTATCCCTGCCGCTGTACTGGCATGCTTTCATGATTCTCCTGCCATGCGGCAGGCCCAGCTGGAAGCACAGCGCAAGGAGGTGGAGAGCTGTCGACAGAGGGGAGAGGCCGCTTGAATTTAGCATCGAAGTTTTCGGCCGGGTTTGGACTTGTTTTGCTTGTGCTGGCAGCCAGGCCGAGCGAGATGCGCAGCTACAGGAGCTGCAGCAGCACGAAGCCGAGCTGAGAAGGCCTTCCTCGACAGCCATCATTTGAGTAGTGCAGAGTTGTTGCATGGTCATGGAGCCATGCACCCTAGCGAAGCTAGCGAGTCAAGAGCTCACTACATCTCACCACACTTCCTGTGCGGAAGCCCTTTGTAACAGTCCTCATACCTCCGCTATTGGATTTCGCGCTCACGCAGACCCTGAGCACATCTACCTGCACGCATGGTTTCACGTTTGCATGCGAGCCTTTTGAAAGCGGCATGGAGGCACCGTGATCAGCTTGAAAGGCAGCGTCGCGAGGAGGAGGTGTGTTCAATAAGACCAAGGAATCGCATGGCTGCGCTATGGCAGAAATGCCCGCTAGGAGCTCCGAAAGGCGCAGGCAGAAACGCCAGATCCGACACGTTTTTGTGGCAGGGCGCGCTCAAAGCTGTAGCTCATTATTTATGCACCTTGAAAGCCAGGTTTCAACTGCTTGACCAGGACATGAATTCCTGATTTGAACAGGTCACGTTAGTTTCAAGCAATGGCCAGTTCCCGTCTGCAGGAGCTTCACGACCGCGCACAGCAAATTTCGACCTCGGAAGAGGCGGGTGAAAAGACGGCGTGCTACTGCTCAACAAATTTCCAGAGCAATTGAAGATGTCGCCCGATTGCTTGCGAGGCTCTTGCTTCAGAGCGGCAACAGATTCTGCGCTCGCGTGGCCAGTTGGCTGTGGCTTGGGCCTGAATCCTGCTGGGGGCTGGTGGATTGCGGTTAATTGTGTGGACCTTGCATGTTTTACACCCTGAAACCACGCATGATTGGACATTGCCAGCACAGCTGCTTTGCAGAATGCTTTTGCTTGTGCCTGACATTTCAGCCTTTCAGCCTGTAGCTATAGGGCTGGCTTCGGCTGTCCGGCCATGTCGATCACCCCGAGACTACGTTCAAGGCCAGCGCTAGCTGGCCTAATGGTGGTTTGTGGCCTGCTGTCCGCACCAAGCGCCAGGCAGGAAAGCTTTGTGCCATCTGGCCACCTGGTACGTGTCACCAGACCTTCCATACAGGCCTTGCCAAGGCCTGTGTATCCCGGGCCAAGAGCTAAAGAACATAGCTTCAGAGGGCTCGCCGTGGCAGCTGTGGCAATGTCATCATTGACCTTGCTTGGGGCTCGACAGTCCCCGAGCCGAACAGGCTCAGGTGTGATAATGAGATCAAGGTCTCCAAAGCCTACAACCCCAGCAGGCTCCCCGAAGAACAAGCGCAGGATGCGCGCAGGTCGCAAGCGGCCGATCTTCAACGGCCGTCAAATCGCGGTTCGCGTGAACCCCAAGACTAACAAACCTGTCCGCTACAAGATGCATGTGATGCCCGGAGACACGGTGCAAGTTATGAAGGGCAAGGATAAGGGCAAGGTGACGGAAGTGCTCCGTATCTTCCCCAAGTGGAACAAGATCCTGTGCTTGGGTGTCAACTACTGCATCAAGCACGTCCGTCCCATGCGTGAGGATGAGGTCGGGCAGCGTGTGCAGGTTGAAGCCCCCATGCACTCCTCATGGGTCATGCACTATGACGAGGAGGAAGACGTGGCAGGTTTGCTAGGTGTCCGCTTCAACAAGAAGACCTTAAAAGACGGCAGCGACATTGTGAAGAAGGTTAGATACAACAAGTCCACTGGCAATGAGATCCCAGTCAGGGCACCTTCCAGGTGGGTTCCTGTTCTGGATCGCGTGGAGGATGAAGATTGAGCGTACACTGTGTAGCAAAGGTCAATGACCGGAGCAGTGTCCTTGTTAGTTGGAGCATGTTGGAGCTGGCATCCGCATTGAAAATGATTCGGGCATGCGGTATGAGAACAGTTTCCTTGCGTCCTAGCATGGCCAGCAGGTAACTGCAATGCTCAGCCGTGATCAGGTGCAAGCGCATGTCGTGTGTTTGCTCGGGAAGGCCTGCGCGGGCGCGTTTTGCATGCCTAGGGTTGAATTGAATGAATTGGCTTGGACGCTTCAATTTGCGTGGCCTCGGCCTCGCCACACTTCAGAGCGCATGCAAACCTTAGAACCTTTTCTTGATAGCTTGCAGGTCGCGGGTGATGGAGCTTCAGAAAAAGCAATGCACCTGGATGCCTCCGATGAGCCTGAGGTGAAACATTCTGGGCTTGGGTTTTGAGTAGATCTGGAGAAGTCGCAGGTTGATCATGCCTAAAGAGCCCAAAGCAGCACAACCTATGGATGCAAAGCGAGGGCAAGGCAAGCGGTGATTGTTATGTCGAATGTGTCAAAGAAAAGACGCGCGAAACCAAAGTCTCAAGTCTCTTTAGAAGATACATAGATATGTACAGGGCTTTCAGGAAAAGAGCGCGCTGCCACAGCTCCTTTCATCAGGCTGAGCTGGATGCTCCAGAGGACGCGAACGGAGACGTCGATGATGAGATGTGGAATATGGTCGTGGCCTAAGACGGCTAGTGCGTTCTTGTCGGCTCGTTCGGAACTGCAAGAGCTTGTATATGTAGCGGCTTCCAGTGCCACCTAGGATTGGTCTTCTGTAGCTGCAGCTGCAAAGCGATCTGAGAAGTCCGAGGCCGCAACCGCCACAGGGGCTTATCATTGAAGGAATGAAAATGCTGGTGGACTCACATTCCACATTTTGCGATTCCCAGAAAGGAACCGCGTGTGTGCGCACCCCCCATGCCCTTGATTCAACTTGTTTTGCAGGGCGATGGTTTGGTTGCCCAGGCCTGGGTGTGGCATGCACCGCACTGCTGAGTGGATTTGAGAATGAATTTGATGGGCTTCAAGTCACATTTTTCGCCTGCTCGCTGAGTTCTTCTGAGGACCTTTCAGCGCATTAGTCGAGCAATCTGATCAATTAGTTGCAAGTTGGGTGAGCTCACAGCATCTCCAGTGCCTGGTAAAGTTTCAAGTTGGGGCTTCCGCCGCCACTGGAGATAGATTGGAACGTCCACTGCAGAGCACCCGCATTTCTGTCGGGAAGCTCTGCCTGTTGGACTTCAGATTGATAGCTAGCCGGCCCTGCGAAATTGCAGTTTGGCCTCTTTAGGTCACCATGGCTCCTTTTTAAGATTTGCGAGATGGATGGAGCACTGTGTGGCCAGCACTTTGGGAGAGTCAGTCTATCATAGTCTACCTTTTTCCAGGCAGGGAGCTGCAAGCTGATGCAAGCTCCATCTGCCAGCAGAACTTCTCATGACGTTGTGAGTCTGGAGATGTCTGGAGCCTGAGAGAACTGCATGGCGGTTTGCAGGCCCGACACAGAGTTCGGGCTTGTCCCCGCAGCAGTGCAGCAGTTAGGCGCAGCCTCGCTCAAGATTCAGAAAGGCCTCAGCCACCGCAGCTGGTTCTGGGCAGGTATGCGGCGGTGGGTTCCGACCTTTGCCACGCCAAGGTGGCCCAAGAGTGCAACGAGGATACCCCGTAGCATGTAGCCAACGTGTAGCCGAACATAAGCCTGTCGCGATGGCTGCACGGATATGGCTTTGCTGGTTGCCCTGTGGATTAGCAAAGATTGGGTGGCCACTTGGCTGGCCCACCTCACTGGAGTTCCTCTCTAAAGGATCTGATGCTGAGTTCTTCGAGTTTGTAAACCCTCTTGCTGACATGACAGAGCTGTCGTACACTGCAACCTGGGGCACGTACTACAAGCCATCAGCACAGAACCAATCCGTGGAAGGCTGGAGGCGCATGTGGCCGGAGGCGAATCCGGTGGAGGGTGGCATGCGAGCTTTGACATTCGTGCAGGAGAGGTCAGGGCGTGGCGTGGTTGTGTTCCGTGGCACCGACCTCGACTCCAGCGGCACAAGCGGACAAGCGGACGCTTGCGCAAATGCCGAATTGGCACACGCACCGCTGCCTGGATACTGCAACCAATTTACGTCTTTTCAGTTGGACTATGTCTCCCGTGCTCTTGACATAGCGCGCAAAGCTGCAGAAGTGCATCCAACAGTAGAGTGGCTATACACTGGCCATTCACTTGGTGCGGAGCTGGCGAACGTCGTTGGTGCCGTCAGAGGCGCAGCCGTCCTGGGCTTTGCAGCTCCAGCTGTACTGCCGGTGCTCAGAGACCGCACAGCAGTTGACCCCCATCAATTGCCTTTCTGGAAATCCTTGTCTTTATACAACGAGCTGGACCCCTTGCGCTTTCAGGCGCTTGGGCAGCTCCCGGGTGCAAACTGTAGCTGGGTCAACCAGCCAGATGTGCCGTCGTGTGATGTTTGTGAACTCCATGGCAAAATCGACGAGGGATCCCCCGAATGTAAGCAATGCTTCTACAAAACCCACATCTTGAAATCGTATCTTGCCCTTCTGAGATCAGGACAGCGCCCCGTCTGTCCGGATGCAGAGTTAGGTGACTACCTTGTTGTTTAGCAATGACGCGGCATGACATTCCTTGATGAAAATGAAATGCAGCTCGGCAGAGCGTGCTTGCACCGCCCCTTCGCAACGCTGCAGGATTCCTCATGGCAACAAATATGCTTGCCAAGCTTTTGCGGCTCATTCTGCGGCTTGCTTGCTCGCCAAATGATACCTTGTAGCATCCGACAAATCAAGCACGTGTGAAGATAAAGAGGCCGAGAAAGAATCAGAAGAATAGCTATGTCAACTGCAGTGCCGCATCACCACGGGCTGGCATGCCACAATCAGCATGGTAGGCACTCCCGGCCGATCCGAATGTCTAGTTTCCATGGCTTCGTAATCAGTGCAGATGACAATGCCCCCACCCCCCCTGCAGCTTGTCAAGTCTGCTGATGCCCGAGCATTTGCCAGGTACTTGGCCTCATTTGCCAAAATCTGCAACCTGCAGATCTGTTACACCTCGTCTTTGCCTCCTCAGCGGGTCAGCGCCTACACTTGCCAGGTGCCGCCGCAGTCATTTGCAGGAGTCATGCACTACCTTTCACAGGAGTCATGCACGCTCTCATCTAGCAGAGTCTGGCTCAAGCGCAGCAAGTGCAACTCCCCCACAAGTCGTCCTTCCTCCTCGCCAATAGAGCCACTTTGGAAAGCTGCAGGTGGCTCTCTCTCAAGTCCTCGGTCTCAGGTTCGAATCTGAGTAGCTAGTGCGAAGGTGCTTTGGCGGTTCCTAGTATGTGAGCAGCCTGCGTCCTAGGATTTTGCTTCAAGCTTTGCTTTGTGAAAGGGCAAACAGGCCTC